GCGGCAGCAAGGACACAGGAAGGCTCTCTGGCTCCCGAACCTGACAATGGCCCCGCCCGCTGCAGACCTCGGGGACCCCTTGCAACGGTCTTCAGGAGGACCAGAAGCCACGGGGCTCACACCGCCCCTCGGCCAGGCGGTCCCCAGACCACTACCAGCAAGGCCGCCGCGCTCTTGCCTGGGCTGGTCCGGAGAGCAACAATCCCCTCTCCTCGCTCCTCTCACATTCAGGGTGGCGTGGGGACAAGGAGGGAAAACCTGCCGGGGGACTTTGTCCCGCCCCTGCTTCAGGGCTGGAGGAATTAGTACGAAAAGTCTTTGAAGGGGGAGCTTTACAAAATCCCCCAAGGCCCCGCGTCGTGCGCAGGAGCTCGGCTCCCCAGGCAGGGCCAGCCTCTCCAAGCCCCGGCGGCCTCACGGGAGACGCAGCTCTGCCGCCCTCTGCCGAGCACTCTCCAGGCCTGCACCTGCTCGGGCGGGAGCAAAGGTCACAGGCCTGCAGCCCGGAGCCCGGAGCCCGGAGCCCCAGAGGGCAGGCCCAAGGCTCAGCCCGGAGGCTGGCCCAGTCCACTCGGCCCCCAGAGCACCTGTCAGCAGCCTCCGCACCACCAGCATGCGGCCGCCCCACGTGCTTCCCTGCCTCCCTCCCACATTCCCTAACCAGGCCTGTCCTCGCGTGCCGGCCTCGCTGGCTCAGGTCCCGGGCCAGCACTGCCCAGCCCAGGCCACAGGGCTGAGCACTGGCCCAACAGCCCGCCTCCCATGTGAGAACAACGGAGCTGGTTTTCTGCAACTTTCCAGACAGAGGAATACAGAAGTAGAAAGAGAACCAGCAGAGCGGGGCAGCCCCGGTGGCGCAGCGGTTTAGCGCCGCCTGCAGCCCGGGGTGTGATCCTGGAGACCCGGGATCGAGTCCCACGTCGGGCTCCCTGCATGGAGCCTGCTTACCCCTCTGCCTGGGTCTTTCGCTCTCTCTGAATAAATAAATAAGTAAATCTTAAAAAAAAAAAAAAAAAAAACAGCAGAGCGGTGTCCTGTGCAGGGGAAGGGTACAGGAGCCCGATGCTCACCCTGGACCCCCGGGTGCCCCCAAAGGCAGGTGCAGAGGAGCTTCAAAGCCCCTTCACACACAGGTCCATGAGCCCACAGAGCCTGACCCTCGGCAAAGCTGAGTTCTGCTGCCGCTGCTGGTGGCGCCATCTGCCGCAGGAACTGGGGGTGACCTTCGGCTCCACACCACAGCCTCCTGCCCCCAGGGTGGGAGATGAAGCCCCCCAGAGCACCTCGCTGGGAGCTCAGTGTCCCTGCCTGGGATCAGAAGGTGGGCCCAAGGAGGGACAGACCTGGCTCCTAGGCTGGCAGGGCTCCCAAAGGCTCACTGCACAAACTCAGGAAAGATGGCACCTGCAAAGCACCCACAGGGTCAAACGGGCCCCGTGGGTGAGCACAGGGCCGCACGCGGGAGGAGCATGTGCACACATGCTGGGGAAGGGGAGCCGCACAGGTACACAGGGTGGGGATGTACAATGGGCCAGGGGATGGCCCCACAACCAGGCCAGGGCTCCCCCCGCGGGCTCGGCCTCCTCCAGACCATACCCGTGGCACAGTTCCTTCTGTGACTCATCCCAGGGCAAGGACTCCAGGAGGGACACGTCTGCGCTAATGCAGGCTGACAGGCACGCTCGCTCTCACGGCCCAGCAGGTGGCCGGGCAGCAGATGCCACCTTCCACAGGCCCTGCGCCTGCCCCAGGCCACCAGCCCCAGCTCATCTGTCATCTCCCTGTAGGCTCCAGGGCCCTGGCCAGTTGGGAGACAAGGTGACGCAGGCCAAGATGGAAGAGCTGCGGGCAAAGAAGGAGACGAGGTGCAGGGGGAGGCTGAAGCACGGCCGCCTGAGCTGTCTGGGCACCTCCAGCGAGCAGGGGAGGGGCCGTGGCTTCCGCAGCATCAGCTGGGCTAGAATCAAGCACCATGTCAAACACATCCCGTCTGCGAACCCGTCTTCACCAAAACAGGCCAAACCTAGGAGGCGAGCAGCGTCATTACCGCCCTTTCCCAGACGAGGAACACGGCCCAGAGCAGAGCCAGTGCCCTGCCTGGACTGCAGCTCGTGGGCTCCCGAGCGCACACTCCTACCCGTCGGCAGCTCGGCCCCAGGCTACGCCCACTTGAGGGTCCCCGGGACCCAAACCTGCACCCGAGGCCTTCTGAGCTCTGCTGACTGCAAGACCACAGAGCTAACAGCCCGTCGCCAGGCCCTCTCCTTCTGTAAGCAGTTTAGTTTTCTGCGTGTGATGGTATCCTGACGTCCTAAAAATACACCTTCCTGGCTGGGGAGACGCCCTGCTCCGGGCTAGCCAATCCCCGTGCTCGGCCTGCTAACCTCCCTGGTGCTCCCGCCCCGTGGCCCCGTGGCCCCGTGTGCTTGCTCCTGTCTCGAGGACCTGAGAGCATAGCACACTGTTCTCCTGAGCTCCTCGTGTCTCCTTGTGAGCACACCTGACTGCCCGTCCCGGACAGAAAGCCAAGCACCTCCCTTCCTTCCGCCTCCCCTCCGCCCCAACCCCTGTGGTTTTCAGGCTTACACCACCTAGACTTCTAATGTTCCCTTTGCTGGGAAGTAACGTCCTGCTTTTTCTGAGTGTCCATGCTTTCTGTGGTGGTCCAGAATCTTCTAAAGAGCCCTCAGACTCCGTACAAAGCCAAGAGGTAACTGAGTTTCGCCCACTGAGCAGAGATATGAGCACAAGGTCCCAGATCTGTGGTGACCATGGGGACTCCCACAGGACTGCAGCGGCTGCTAGGACCCAATCAGATCAGGAAGGACTGGGTCATGCATAGCAAAGAACCGAAGAACCGAGAGGACAGGGCTGGGGTCCAGGATCGTCAAGAGGAGATGGGAAAAGATGGAGGCGCTTCTGTGCTCCTCTAGCAGCCAAGCAGGACCCGTGAGGCTACTGGCCAGTACCCTGATGTGGCGGCGTCACAGACACAGGAGGGTGGTGGAAACAAGGTCAGGCAGGTCGGGACGGGGTCCCAGTGACGCTGGAGCTGGCTGGGGACCACCCTAAGGTGGGCACACAGCCTCAGCTGCTTTCTCTGCACAGGGGAGGTGGGGAGGGGAGGGGCGTGGGAGGACTGTGACCATGCCCTGCAGGGAGCGGTGCCAGAGGGAGGCCCTGCTGTCCTACATCAGCCAACTGGGCCCCTCTACTGCCACTTCACCTCGTCCTGTGCCGCGTCCTCTGTGAAGGGGGACAAAGGACGCCAGCCCCTCACAGACATGGGAGTGCTACCGAATGCTAAAGGGGCCCGAGACAGCTTCCAGGCGGCCACGTGGCACGCCTGCCCAGCAGATGCAGGTAACCAGATGCTCCAAAATCCAGCAGCCAACGGTGTGTAGCACCAGGGCTCCAGTGCAGGACCCAGAACCAAACACTAAGGCCCTGTCCCCTCTGTCCCTCCAAGCTGTCGGGGACACTGCGGCACAGACGGCTTCTCCCACCCTGCCCTGGGCCCTCACTGGAGCCAGCCCCTCATGGAGACCCCACTGCAGGCAGTGGGCCCGGCGCCCGTGGAGAGCCCACCTACTCAGGTGTGCGCCTGCCCTTCAGCAGTCACGGCTCCTCCTGAGAGAGCTTTGTCAGCGGCCCAGAAACAAGAGCCACGCGCTCTGCAGCTACGTCCACCAGGCCCCTGGATGGAGGTGGCAAGAGCCCAGCGCTCAGCATCAGGCAACGGGTGTGGGTGGGCCGTCACTGCAGGCTGAGCGCCCACAAACGTGCCGCTCACTCAGAAGGACGAGAAGGCGAGAGCACCAGCCCAGGGGGCCCATCTCCCGCTGGCGGCCCACCCACACCGCGGGAAGACAGCATCTGTCGGCAACCTGGAGGAGTAACTTCCTGGGCCGTGTAAACACCCCAGAAGGGCTAACCTGAACAATACACACTGCGCTCACCCACGTCTAGGAAAAGCGATAAAAACCGTCCCAATGTGTAGACAGACCAGAAGAGGACGCTGAACACGCGGAGAGTCTACGTGCCCGCGGCCTCAGGTACAGGCCTGCCCTGGCCCCAGGTACGCAGGAGCACAGGGCTCACACCAGGGCGGGACGCAGCCCGAGCTGCCACCTGCTAGGCGGCATTCGTCTTGAGACACAGTCAGCAGGAGGGTCTGTGAGGGACAAGAACAAGCCACCTCGGAACGTGCCGCTTTGGCCGCCGTGAGGATTCCCCTGAGCCGGAGGCAAATGGGATCGACAGATGCGGAAGGCAGCCCTCCCCGCGCTGCCCTTAGCTGACTAACAGCAGAAAATCCCGAAACTGACCGCCACGGGTCCCTCTCCTCGCCACGGGACGTCTCACGGCCGTGAAGATGAGAAATCAGCACCCGGAGGCACCTGCGCACACAGGCCCTACTCCGCTAGGTTTCCCCCTTAGGATGGCCTTCTCGTCTGCCGTTGGAAGCCACAATGTGAGCGCTCTGCAGCACTTACCTGACAAGGAAACACTAATAGGTTCACGTGTAACAGCAGTATTGCACGTTTATATTTTAAGATCCCTCAAAATACACATTAAGATTTTATTTATTTGACAGAGAGACAGGCAGGCGGAGCCATGGAGAGGGAGAAGCAGACGCCCCGCTGAGCAGGGAGCCCAACGCGGCACTTGATGCCAGGACCCTGAGATCATGACCCGAGCCGCAGGCAGACGCTTAACAGACGGAGCCCCCCAGGCGCCCCTGGAAATATATATTAAAAGAATTTATGAGTAAAACGCTGTTTGTGTCAAAATAACCCCGTATGTGTCGAAAGAGGGTGACGGGTACGTAGGGTATCCTCACACCGTTGTACTTGAACGCACCTTAAAACTTTTCCATTAATAAAAAAGCCTTTCAGGAACGTACAGGCTAACTTGCAGCTTGCCTGGCACGCACGAGTGTGTTAGACCAGCCTGGTGCCAGAGCTGTAAACACCCGGCCCTTGGCCGCACGTTCTCACCTCTCCTGACGGAAGCAACGCTCCTCGTGTCTGGGTCCAGCTTCTGCACCAAGGCACTGGGGTCTATCTTGGTCCCGGCAAAAACATCACTGTTCACGAAAGCCCATTCCTAAGAAGGAAAGAAGACGGAAGACTTCCCTGCGGCTCCAGAGCACAAGGCCAGGCCGGTCCCGGGGCGGGGGAGCCCTTGGCGGGGCGTCCAGGTGAGCAGGCCAGCTCCTCCCGGAGAGCCTGGGGGAGGTAACCCTCGCCCCCCCCCGCCCCCCGGGTTGAGCCCACTGGGAGCTCGCAGCTGGGAACCTAAGGCACTACTTCCCGCCTGCCTCAGAACACCGGACGGGCTTCGTTCCTGGCGCGGGGACCATCTCAGAGCAGACGGGATCGGCAGCGATCGTGAGCTGAGAGGTCAGCCCCCGGCGCACTGTGACAGGAACCAGGTTTCCTCCCGACCCCGCGCCATCTCATCCTTCCCACAGCACTCTCTGTTTCACGACCACTGCTGGACCTCAGCAATCCCTCCCCAGGCTTCCGACCTGCGCTCACCCCACAGGGAGACTTCAACCCCCCCCCCCGCCCCCGTCACTGCCGATCACACTGTGCTGAGCCAGAGCCCACCTCCCAGGCCCCCAGGCCCACCTGGCTCATTCCAGGTCCAAGCTCCAGGACTGGGGCGAGCGGGAACTAGCCTGAGGGCCCAGGTGAGGGGCTGGCCTGCACCCAGAGCCCGCACAGGGCACCTCAACGAGAAGCCCACGCTCCTCAGGAGCTCCCAGGGTGGGAGGGAAAGTCCGTAAACAAGATAAACAAGACACACGAGGAAAATCACAGGGGCCAGTGCTGGAGCCTGGGAGGCGGCTGCGAGGACCACGCAGCGAAGGCCACCCCAGCGGAGCCCTCCCAAGGAGGAGCCGCAGGGGGTGAGGGGCAGCGCTGCCCCCGGGTGCGTGCACACAGCCAGTCCTCACTTCGCGTCACGTGCCCATTCGGACACCGTCCACGGTGGTGCTTTACAGCTTCACATTTCTGGACCCTCACACATGAGGGGTTGATGCTGCGCCACTGGTGTCCCTCGAGGACTGCGATGTCATCACGTGACCAGACCCCGGTGGTCCGTCCATGGAACTTCCTCCTCCACCCCCACCGCAGGCGGGAAGGCCGACAAAGTGGTTCTCCCCGCTGGCCCAGCTTCCCCCGCAGGCAGAGGTCCTGAAGGGCCAGGACGACTGGGGGCCGCGCCCTACAGGCCGGGGTCTCTTTCTGGGGTGATAGGCAGGGTCTGAAGTCTGTAGTGACGGCTGCACGACTCCGGATACACTAACGACGCCGGTAGACGTGTACGCGCCAAACGAGCCACTACTGCCAGAGCTCTTAGCAGAGCCAGCGCACCGAGCTCCTTCCTCACCCTGCACGTCCCTGATAACGGAACTCGGACCGAACTTGGACTTCTCCGCGGCAAACAGAGAGAGGGCGGTTGGGAAGTTATGAAGACTGGGGGCGCAGCCGTGGTGTGGAGTGCTGTCCTGTCCGCGGCCCCGCGCCTGTGCCTGGCCACGGGGGCAGCATCAATGCCCTCAGGCAGCCCAGGGGTCAGTGCAAGGGTCGCAGCAGGGGTTTGCAGCCCGAAGGAGGCACAGGGGCAGGGGGGTGGGGTGGGGTGGGTGTCAGCCCGTGGTCGCAGCCCGGGGGGTCGCAGCCCGGGGGGTCAGCGGAGGGTCACAGCCCAAGGGTCACAGCCCGAGGGTTGCAGCCCGGGGGTCACAGCCCCGGGTCAGCTGGGGGTCAGCCAAGGGTCACAGCCCAGGGGTCAGCCGAGGGTCACAGCCCGGGGGTCAGCCGAGGGACACAGCCCGGGGGGTCAGCCGAGGGACACAGCCCAGGGGTCAGCCAAGGGTCACAGCCCAGGGGTCAGCCGGGGGTTGCAGCCCGGGGGGGGGGGTCAGCCGGGGGTCACAGCCCAGGGGTCAGCCGGGGGTTGCAGCCCGGGGGGGGGGGTCAGCCGAGGGACACAGCCCGGGGGGTCAGCCGGGGGTCACAGCCCAGGGGTCAGCCGGGGGGTCACAGCTCGGGGGGTCAGCCGAGGGTCACAGCCCGGGGAACAGCCGGGGGTCGCAGCCGGGGTCGCAGCCCGAGGGTCAGCCGAGGGTCAGCCCCGGGGCCACACGCACGGCGGGGCCGGTCCCCGAGGACGGCTGAGGCGCCCGCCGCCGCCCCAGGGACCCCGAGAGCAGCAGCAGGCTGAGCGCGGCCCCGGGGCGTCCCGGGGACACAGACACACACTCCGACCCCGGGCCGCCCGCCCGCCGCCCCGCCGCTCACCTTCGCGCCGAGCCCGCCGGCCGCCTCCCGAGCCGGGGCCGCCTCCGGATCCGGGGGCGCGGGTCCCGACGCCGCCTGCCCCGCGGGCCTCACCGCCGCCTGGTGCACGCGGGCGCGCAGCCCCCTCACCTTCCCCATGCTCGGCGAGCCCCGCCGGAAGCCGCGCGGCGTGCGTCCCACCGCCGGCCGGAAGCTGGTCGTGCGCGCCGGCGGCCGGGCGGAAACAGGGGCCGGGCGGAAACAAACAGGGGCCGGGCGGCTGGGATCCGCGCTCCCCCCGCGCCGCCCGCCGCGCAGGCGCCCGGGCGGGAGGGGGCGGGGCCAGGACGCGCGGCCCCGCCCCCGGCAGGTGTCGGAGACCGCGGCGCTGCAGGCGGCCGGTCGGGCCACCTGCGGGGGGTGGGCGTGGGGGGGGGGACGGGTCCTGCACGTTGGGGTGCGGGTGTGTTGGGCACTGGCTCGCCGCCGGCCCCGCAGTGCCCCGCTTCCGAGGACCGACCACACGCGTCCGCTGCTCCACGGACTCCCGTGACCGCGGAGGCGGGCGGGCCGCGGCCGTCTGTGCCCGGGCCCCCTCCCCTGCACCCCGGCCCTGGGACTCAGCCCCCCGGAGCCCGTGGAAGCCCACCCGCCAAGAGGAATGGGGGGGGGGACTCGCCAGCCGCCCGCAAAGCGGGGTGGCACCTGCCGGGGGGACACAGGTGCTGGCCAGTGGACGCGACACCGATGACCACAGCCACGGGGCCGAGGTGATGGCATCCGTGATTTGCCCGAGGCCACAGAGCAGGCTGGGATGCATGTCCACCTACACATTCGAGGCCTTACTGAGCGCATGACATTCTAGAAAAGGCGAGGCCACGCAGGGTACCAGGTAGACAGCAGGTGTGCGCGGGCGTCTTCCCCAGGCTGCGCAGGAGCCGGCTTGTCCCGGGCCACAACGTGCCAGCAGGGAGCGAGGCCGCTTGCAGGTGAAGAAGGCACCGCGGAGACCTGGGCCGGATCCGACACGGGTGACGTCACAGCGAACATCGGGGCTGAAGGCACAGACAAATGTCCCTGGGAGACCTCCCAGCAGCCCATCTGAGGCTTGACACCCCCCCGCCCCCCTGCTCCGTAAGGGCTGCCGGGGGCCAACGTGGGCCTGGGCCAGCACCTGCCAGACCAGGTGGTCAAAGGAGAGCGGCTTGCTGGGGCTACAACCTCCTGCCCGGCGGGAGCCCCACCAGGTGGGCTCCAGGCCTGCTGGGCCCCGCCAGCTTCAGGGCTTGCTCTTTGCCTCTTCCGGGCAGCACAGGTTTGCTCAGTAAAGGGGAAAACAGTGGCAGCCCCCGGGGGGCTCAGAGGTTTAGCACCACCTGCAACCCAGGGCGTGACCCTGGAGACCCGGGATCGAGTCCCACGTCGGGCTCCCTGCATGGAGCCTGCTTACCCCTCTGCCTGTGTCTCTGCCTCTCTCTCTCTGTGTGTGTGTGTGTGTCTCTCATGAATAAATAAACAAAATCCTAAAAAAAATAAAAATAACCTGAATGACAAAAATATTTACAAAGGAAAAATCATCCATAATCCCTGCTATAACAACCTGTGTTCAGGGCCCCTGGGAGGCTTGGCGGTTAAGCATCTGCCTTCAGCCCAGGACGTGATCCTGGAGACCTGGGATCGAGTCCCACATTGGGCCCCCTGCGTTGAGCCTGCTTCTCCCTCTGCCTGTGTCTCTGCCCCCACTTTATAAATAAATAAATAAATAAATAAATAAATAAATAAATAAATAAATAAATAAAATCTTAAAAAAAAAAAAAGGGAAAACAGCGTCCAACAAAAGGGACCAGCTAGGAGGTTTGAAAGTCCTGGGGTCTCTCCTGTCCATCTGTCCCCTGGTCCCCCTGAGTGACCTCCTCCCGTCCATGCTTCCATGCCCTACCCTGTTATCCTGACATTTCCATCTGCAGCTGGATCTCTCCATCTCCACCTGAAAATGTAGTGAAAACCGCAAAACTGAATTCTTGGTTCTGATCCCAACCTGTTCCACCGCCTTACCCAGGTGGCTGCCCAAGCGGAAACCCGAGGTGTCGTTTTTTGCTGGCTCCCCCTCTCCCTGCCAACCCGGCAGGCCCCTAATCTCTCCCCCCCAAACTCCCCCCCAACCCGGGGGCTCCTGCTCTGGCCCCCTCTCTGGGCTCCGTGCCCTCTAGCTGCACCCGGGGACCCCTGGAGTCCCTCTCTGCTTACCCGCCCCCCAGCTCCCTGGAGGAGAGCCCTGGAGGGGCTGCCCAGGCCCTGCCCTCCTCGGGAGGTCCCGCCCCAGCTGCTCGGCGCCTCCCAGCACTCCACCGCCAAGTCTCCACTGATCCCCTCCCTGCAGGACCCGGATTCTTTGCTTTCTCTCTGGCTCATTCCTTCGTCGCCCGAGGGCGCTCGCGGCCCGCCGTGGTCCCACCCTGGGCCTCCGGGCTGGGAGCGGGGCTGCGGGAGAATCTGCTCCCCCTGCGCCGGGACCCTGGAGGCCTCCTGCCCCTGCGCTGGGCGCACAAGCCGTCTGTGCACCTGTGTGCGTCGAGGCCTGGGGTCCCTCGCAGCCGGGGAGGGATGGCCTCCAGGTGGTGCCTGGTGCCCGCTGCCCCGCGGCCCCTCCCTGTCCCCCGGGCCCTCCGCGAGGGGCTTTGTCGTGAAGCGCCTGGGGCCACTGACCTTTCCACACTGCGTGTGCCAGCACCTGCCCACGGATTCCCGTCAGGGGGGCAGCGCCCTGCAGCTCTGGTGCCGCCCACAGGTCCTAGGATTTGGACTCCCCACCCTGTGTGCCCCCAGCCAGTGCCCTAACCCTGCCCTCGCCAAGTGCCAGGTGTCAGGACCTCCTTCCCAGGGTGGCCACGGGTTGGGGGGTGGCCACCAGCTTCCCAGGTGCAGCGCCCAACCCCCGCGCCCCTCAGCCCTGGGAACGTGTCCTCCGCCCATCTAGGCCCCTCTTCCTGCACAAGTCCTGGCCTGAGTCCAGGTTCACTCCCCGGGGCCTCACTCCGGGAAGGAAGGCCGGTGCGCGCACCCCCAGGTAGACGGCAGGGCTTGGGGTTGACCCGGACCTGTCTCCCCATCTCTCCACAGGGGTTGGCACCTTGGGGTTCTTGAGGCTGCAGGCACAGTAGACTCCAGGGGCCCCAGAAAGGTAGGCCTCAAATGCGGGGTCGGGGTGTGGGGGCGGCAGGGGCGGCATCCCAAGCGGGACCCCAGCCCATCCTGCCCGGCCCAGGTGCTGGAGGGCGAGGGAGGGGAGGCTGTCCTCCACCTCCAGCGACTCTGGGAAGGCCCTGCCTCGTGGGGGGGGGGGCATGCGCTGAGACCTGCCCCACTGGCTACAAGCTGGGAGACTGAGGCAGGTGTGGAGGCCGGTGCTCCTTAGCCTGGTTTATCAGCGGGGGGCGCCGCGGCCATGCCCAGAGCCTTCCCCGCGACCCAGAGGGCATAGCAGGCGAGCTGCCGGCGGGGATGGGGTCACCTGTGCTGCGTACACGCCTGGGCACCTGGGCACCTGGGCGCAGTGCCTCCCTGTGATCCCTCCAGACACGGCCCCGGAGGGTGGGCTGGGCCGAGAGTGCAGAGCTGGCTTCGTGCCGCCTCCACCCCGAGACCCGGGGCTTTGCTCCAGGAACTTGCGGGGTTACAGCGGGTCTGAGTCCCTGCGGGGCCATCTATCGTCTGAACATCTCCGCGGGCAGACCTCGAGCGCACACCCCAGACCTTGCGGCGGGTCCCCAATCTGTGCGCTTGGGCACGGGGCAACCACAGGTGGTGTGTCCACGAGTGTCCGCGCCAGGAATGGGGCAGGAAGCTTGGGGGCCACCGATCAGTGGCTGCAGAGTTCCCAAATTTGGAGACTTTTGGGGTGAACATAATGTGCCCGACCCACTGCGGGATGCCGGGGCGACTGGAGGAAGCGATGGCGGGGGGGGGGTGCGGGGGAAGCGCTGCGGCAGGTGCCCGGTGGGGCCGCGGGCTGCCCCCCAGGGCGGCCCCACAGCCCAGGCCCCAGACTTCCAGCTTTGATTCTTGCCTCTCCCTCCAGCCCACCCCCAGCCAGGCAGAGAGCCGCTTCTGACGTTTGATACACGGTCAGATTAACTTTTAGGTAACATCCTTTCTTTAAAAAAGATTTTATTTATTTATTCATGAGACACAGAGAGAAAGAGAGCAGAGACCCAGGCAGAGGGAGAAGCAGGCTCCCTGCAGGGGGCCCGGTGCCCACTGGACCCTGGACCCCAGGATCACAGCCCGCCCTAAGGCAGACGCTCCACCCCTGAGCCACCCAGGGGCCCCGGTTAGCATCCTTTTCTGATTACAAATAATACGTGGCTGTCGTAAACCATTTGGAAAATAGAGAAAACTACTTTAAACCGTTAAAATCCCTCTGTTCCCCTTGCGCAGAGGTGCCTGGCAATGGACGGCCAGTTCCTCTCAGCGCCTTCCCCCGACCCCCCCAAACTGGGTCTTGCAGCTTTTTTAATTAGGAATTTTCATGTTGCTCAGGTGTAAGAAGGGTGAGGTCTCCCTGGTGCCCACCCAGCACCACATACCAGGGGCTCAGCCCAGCCCCCCACCTACCCGTGTAACCTCTTCCGACCCCCCCACAATTCCTCATGCGGATGGGGTCACACCCAGATCAGGGCACATGTTCCATCCCTCGCTCCACCTTAGTCACCCCAGCTTAACCAGCTCCAGGGTGCTTTGCCCGCAGAATGGGATCTTCCCCCCTCTCCCACCCCTGTGCTGTCACACTCACCAGCCCTGGTGGGCTGGGCCCTGGGCACTTCGCCCAGACCCCTGCCCCACCTCCGTCTTTGCAGGCTGTGTTGAGAGCTTCAGGGTTTTCAGCTCAGCGTCCTGAGAGGAGGACCCTTCACCCCCACCTTTCAGGAACTGGGCTACAGCCGTGTAGCCACCTGTGCAGCGGGCGGGCGGGACTGCAGTCCAGGCTTCCCAGAGCCCAGGCTGTGGGCCGCCACTGCTGCCCTGCCCTGCTCCTCTGCTGCCCCGTGCTGGAGAGGTGCCGCTATTCCTTGAGAGAGGACGAGGAGGAGACAGAGAAGACCGCCTCCCGGCCTGCAAGGCCTTCCCAGGTGAAGGAGGGTGAGATCTTTCTGGATAGGTCCCTCTGCACCGAGAGGCCAGCTCTCAACTGC